TGTGTGTGTGGGTGGGGGGGGGGGTTAATTTGTCTGCTAAGCTAATATAGTAACAGTTTTGCGAGAAAGACAAAAAATGCTTCCCAAATCTGGATTTAAAAAAAAAAAAATAAGGGTGATTCCTATCCTGTCATCTCAGTCAGATCTTTCACCTCTGTATTAGCATCATCATTATCATAGCAGACTAATATAATAGTGACGGCCGCCATTTTTTAACTACCGGTACCTTTCTGTTGTTGAGAGCAGGCAGGTCTCCACTATTTTGCCTGAACATCTCCTGCAGCGTCTCAGCCAGCTGGCACAGCAGGAAGCCGTTGTCTAAGCGTTCCATGAAGCTTTCAGCGGTGATTTCCAGACCTGATCAAGGGACATATAAATACATTTAAAAAATAGGGAGAATTCAGCACAGGAAATCCATCACTAAATGTGATTAGTTATGAAATATCCAGTCAGTTCCCAGTGGAAGTAGATTGTGATGCAAGAAACGACTTTGGAGATGACACGCCTGGTTGGGCATGCAAATGTTCACTATGTTACAACTTAGAAAAGTTGCTTCATTACGACATAAGTCAAAGCAAAGTGGAAATGTGTACCTGTACAGTTAATCTAATTATGCTGCGAGCTAAATAGAGATACTGCAGATTGGTCATCAAAATGTGGTGTCCAATTAACTGACTTCCAGCGGTTCATTCTTTCTCAGTGAGATCATCGTGAAATAGGAGGTGGTGGCAATGGGGTGTCTGTGGAAAGAAACTGGAGATTTTTTTTTTCATGCCTTTCTGTTTCTTATAGCAGGAGGGGTCTGGGGGTTCACAGCATTTAATGAGTTCCAAATGTTGTATTGCGCTCAGAAAAAGAGATTGCAATCTTGAGAAATACTCAGTGAGCTCCCGACTTACAGCATACGCACATGCTCCCTTCAACTTCTGCTGTGTGAGGACAATTTATTCCAGAGAGACTTCAAAGAAGTATTTCATTTTGGCTCCTCGGTCCGATAAATGGCTTTGTCTCCCATTACCACATGACTCATCAATACAAACGAATGTCCTCCTCCTACTCAAACGGTAGACTTTTTCCATACTTCTCCTCCCACCTAAACTCTGCTTACCATAACAGCCCCTTGAGGAGCTTTGGATGTACTCAACCTCGAGAAGACAGCTTAAACTAATAACACTATTTATTTAATGGCAACCCTAATGGCTGCTTCGAGCTCAGCTGGTTCCAGTACACCTGCAGAGACACCAGGCGGTGAGAGAAGTTCACATGTATGCCCATCCACAAGCAAAGAGCATGCAAGCATGAAATCTATCTTTTTAACCTTGCACACAACATATGCCCTCATTTCCAGACTACAATGCAGCTGCTTAAAAACCACAATAGCTAAAATTAGCCATAAAAACAAACGTGAACATACATTAGCCACTTCATGTTTATGCTATAGCCAATGCAATCTTTAAAAAAAATGAAAAATCTAACGCCATTTCCATTATGTGGGTAGTGGTAATCATATAGAAAGTATGTTACAAAACAACAACTTTGCTGACTTTCCCAATGTATGCTCACATACTGAGTGATGTTACACATAAATGTGACCGGAATGAACTGTTTCATGTCTCATATAATCCACAAACTCAGCCTACTCATTGTTTGTCAAGTCCACTCGAATTACTTAAACATATAAGCACTTAGCTGATTCAAATGAAATTAGAGCCACTATGTTATTCATGCTTTCGTTTTGTCAGTGCATTGCTGTTTAACAAGAGGACACGCGGTGATTTATGAGACAATAGTAAGCCTGCTGCTGCACTTCCACTACTCCTCACCGCTGGCACTGCATTATTCCTGAGCTGTAATGATGCCCATTTATTCAATTAAGGTAAATCTATAGGAAATTATGTGAAGACTAGTGGTTCAGCTTGACTTCAATTTACAGTAATACAACTACAAGTGTTGATTTACGGGTATTTGAGGGTGGGATATTTTTAAGTCAATGCACTTGCATTTTCACATGGTAATCTGATAGTGACTTGGGGGTGGGGGCGTGTTGCACAATTTGCACTCACCCAGCATATTGGTGAGCCAGAGTGCGAGGTCTTCCTTCATGGGCAACAAGCTGGCTTCATGTCGACTGGCCAGCCACTGGTGGTACTGTTGCATGTCTGTCAGGCCGGGGCTACTTGGATGTTTGGGACTCAGGGAACTGCACATGGTTCCCTCCGGATAACCTAAGGCAGTGAGAGACACGAAACAGGAAGCATGAGAATCTGGACAGGAAACTTCCGGCCTGTCAGTATGCATTGGATCAGGTTTATTCATTTATTTATCCTACATTGCAAAGGTCTTGCATTTAATGTAGAATTATTGTGTGTGTTGTTGGTTGGCATGGATGTACACACAACAACCACATCTTTACATTAGATAGAGTGAGATCCAATTACAGTACAAGAGTTGCATCAAAAATGTCTTGGTGACAAAGGCAATAATGCTCAGTTTTGAGTGACACAAATACAACTAAAATAGTTAACATATTACTGCCAAATATTTAATACATTTCAGACTGTAAATAACTATAATCATTTTTGTCACAGCGGTAGTGATTTTATCTTTATTTGCATTTAAAATGATCATTTCCTGTTTGGCGCTTCCTGTTTAGCACGGTTTGCAAAAAAGTACCTTGACATCTTAAGTACGGCCAGAGTTTATTACGAAGTCATATTTAAACGATAATGTTTACACTCACAGCACCTCCAAAGAGGTGTGTTTTGTGTAATAATTTTATGCCTATGAGCATTTGTATTTGTAAATTATTTAGTGTGGAACGTGAACTATGTTTAATTATCTCGATGTGTTTTGCAATGTTTATCAGCTCTTACGGTGATTAGGCCACGGTTATGGAAAACTGTATGTTGCTCACAAATCAACGGCAAAAATCATCAGTAAAAGTTTCATCCTGGTTCGGGAGGGCATGCTACACTGACAGTGAGTGTAAATGGCCAAGCCAATCATATGACTGGATCCCATTAGTGTGCCTAATGCAATTACCAGTAAATACATGGATGCATGCGTGTGTACTTTTGTTTTCAGGACACTATTTTTTATTCTTCTCCAAAATGATATGTAATCTAAAAGAAAGCTGAACAACGAGGTTTTAACAACATGTGATTTGTGTGTGGGAAGTTGTAATCTAACAGCTGACATTCCGGCCTGCAATTCCCGCAAGGAACAGAGGTGCCTTGAATGAAAACAAGAGACAAAAGATTTTGTCCTATGGGCCAAATCGCGGTGTGGTTTACAGAGCATCTGCTGATATCAATGAATGACATATAAGAAGCACACGAATACAGCTGAACTTCTTTTGCACAGACATCAGGAAAACAAATAGTGTCTCATTCAGTCCACCATGTGTAGTTTAAGTCACGACTGCAGACTCAACAAGGCAGCGGGTCTTATTAATGTGGCCTGACGAGGGACTGTACTTGCCATCAATATTCAAAGCCATATTTAACTACTCCTTAGCACCTGTAATGGGATTTCAGTGACTAAACACAGCCTTCCAATGTCCAGCTTTGCCAAGTGCTGAAATTCTTTCACATTCTACTCCGCAGGCGCTACGGCTTCAAGTCATGAATTCCACAACTACGACTTCTGGCATGGATGAGGAGGTAATGTATCTGTGTAGACATGATGATATTGAAATATACACTTCTTTATTGAAGAATAAGACATCAAAGGATTTTGGATATGTTCCTATTTGCATTTGGAGTATTTTCCCGAGTGCGTCATTTCCCTGTGTTTTGACTGCTGGGGCACCAAAAGGTCTTTGCCCCAAGTTGCGAAAGGACACAACATGAATCGGGTGAGTATGACTAGTGCATGACATTTTCAATTGTTTTGATTTAATTTTCTCAACTGATGAAATTACGGTCTTTGAAAAGTATTTATTTTACTCAAATAATGCGATTAATTTACTTTTGACATTGACTAAGCGGCAAGTGGGCATGTAAAGAAAAAAATGATACTGTGGAAAATATTGTTGAGTTAAAAGATGAAAAATGAATTGTGAACTACTACTTTAAAGAAAACTGTTTTTGTCTGTTGCGCTGACTTACTGTAGATAAAGTGCTACATTTTATGACCACTTTTTGATGAAAAACAGGCAATTCCAACGGGTTCACACGCAACTAAAACTGGAAATGATTCGATTTTTGTAAAAATGTTATTAAAAAAAAAAAAAATCACAAAACCATCATATTACACACTTCTTTATATTGTTGTTGTGGAGATCAGCCATAGTCAACGCAGAATGAGTATTACTGTTAACACAAAAATACCAACATATACCAGCCCTCGTGGTCAGGAAATAGTCTTAAATGCAAAGGTGAACAGAAGCTTTTTCAAAGAAGGAATGAGAGCCTCCATATACGTTCTAACAATGTGTCCATTGCCTCCCTTCGGAGTTGGATGACATCGAATCATACAGTGGACATCTCGAAATTGACATGTTGGCAAGGTCATATTTTCTTCCTGAAGACAAGCTCACCTTGACCTGTCTTTACATCCTAAACTCAGAAGGCGGTCAGGAGCATCACACTGGTGCTACATTCCCACCAGCACCGAGGAGCAGGATGGCAGACCGAATGGGGGCAGTGGGACAAGTTCTCATGTCTCACAGCTTCATTCAAACAAGACCATTGTAAGCCACGCTGGTTGCTTTAGCATTGGATGGTGTCTCAGTCAGTGGGGCAAGTGGGGCAGTTGCCCACTCAATTCAGCAGATGGCGCTATGGTTAAGAAAACTTGTACCTTCAGTTACAGCTATATTGTGGTGAGTGGTATCATTCCAAAACATGAATATATAAATAAACTGGTCTCATGATACTGATAGCACGACTTCTTCAGGTTTTGTCTTTTATTCAGGGTAGACGCATACCAAGAAATGGGACTTATTTGAGTATTCTTCTGATCAAAGTCAGACTATTCGGACTGATTATCCCTTGGTGTGAGGCATGACCGCACCCATTTGCTTGGAAAAATGTCACAAATCGTAATCGTTAAATCATTTACAATCACAAATCTTCAAGTATGTGGTGAAGGTTCGGCCGAACCACAGATAAAGACATACAGACATCTGGTTGAGGGGAGAAGACTTGCTCTTGACTATATGTCAATGGTCGATTGAAGAACTTCCATTTAAAATGTCTGCCGGGCCAACGGTTGTCATCATGTCTTCAGCTATCTGTTAGATATATTGAAACACTATCTGCGAGCCAAAGCTCAGCTCCCAAACGTAAATGAAAAAAAATCACATTCCAGAAAACAAGAGGCACTGCTGCTGAGCATTGCTGTGTGATTTGGCATTCATTAATAGGTCTTTATACTGCAAACCTGACATGTACAACAGAGTAGAATTTCTGCACTTGTAAGCATTACCGTGTGCAGCAGTTGTCATAACACAAGTGCCAATTTTTCCCATCATCATGAGTGGGTTCTCTCTCATTTACACTAAAACGGTAACGACGTTAAAAATTGAACTGCGTGTATCTTGCTTATCGTCTGATCCTCTACTCTATGAGGCAGTGGATGAAACTGAGAGCAACTGGCAATGCAAGAAAAAAAATTGTCATGACATTTTATACTAAATTATACAGACCCTATGTTGTCTACACTGTTGAGTACATTGCCATTGGTGGAGAAATTGTGAGTTAAAGCACATAATCTCAGTGGTTGATGACCCACCATATAAAAATGCTACTGACCTCACTTTGCGACATCATTTGACATAGCTTGTTTGATTTGTCTACATTGAGCTCAAAAGCTGGATTGTTCTGCGGAAATGTGACCCAACATCTCATTGAGTTTTAAGCCACATTTTCCTCGGGAAATATCTGTAAAAGAAACAACCAATTGTTCTGGCCTAGCACCACACTGCTGCCTGACCTCCTCAAGTGCAGGTCAAAAAACATACCTAACCTTGCCTCCGAGTTGGACTTTTTGTACGCATACGTCCCACTAAACCCGCCAGTTACAGTTCCCAGTTCCCAGCGTCAGATTCCAGATCCAGATGTTGACTCAGGATTAGGAGCAGAAGACCTGCACAATAATGGTCAAATATACAAAGATATAAATGTAAACATTCCTCAGACCGAGAAGCCTCATGACTGCCATTGAGGCACCATGACATACCGTGGCTGGCTGCAGATTGCTCCAGGAAATAAAAGCGGATGGGAATTCAGCAACTGAATGAATTACAAAAAAAATAAAAAATCAAGAGTGGCTCTGCTGTTCTTACGCTTTCTGCATGCCATGCACTAGGATCCCACAAGAGATCTACAGCAAGATTTGTCCATTTCAACAGGAGCAAAAGTTCACTGTGTTTTTATGCAAGTCTGCATGCCGTCTATCAAACTGTATCACTTGCTGTATTTAACGGTCAACAACTCATTTATTTCTGCTGAACTTGCAATCAAAGTTTTACGTCGACCAGCCATAAAACCTCATCTGTGATCATGTGCCAATTTACCCTGTGTTCATCCATTTCTAAACAGGCTACAGCAGGCCTTAATTAAACCATGTGCTTCATATACACTGTCAATAAATAACATTTTGGTTAGTCAATCTGTTGTAAAACATATGGATGCGTTCATATGGAAAATTCCTGCACCACAAATGTTTTGCTGCTGTGCATGAATTCAGTTGAATAAATTACTGATTTAATCTGCTGTGACATTTTATGAGAGAAAATGACATTGCATTTAAAACTCTCTATTCATTTGACAATGTTGATAAATATCAAAAAAGCCATATCATGTAATCCACCACTTATTCAGTTGAATAAATTACTGATTTAATCTGCTGTGACATTTTATGAGAGAAAATGACATTGCATTTAAAACTCTCTATTCATTTAACAATGTTGATAAATATCAAAAAAAGCCATATCAGGTAATCCACCACTAAGGATACGGTTTTAAGGCTGATGATTTATGACACAAACCAAAGAGTCCACCACCTAATTAAAACCATCCCGACAACTAGAATCTAAAAGTCACCATTTATTTTAATCTCGACAGTATTATTGGCTTTTAGCTGTCATCGAGTAACAATTTATTGAATCCCAACAGTTGCTAAAACTTCCACTGCCATTGAACATTAAATTCAACAAGTTGGGAACAAGAGTTAACGCAAACAGTGCATGAAGTGTACAAAAAGGCTTGTTATCAGTGCTCACCCTCGGTCTTCAGCTGCTAGGTGCGCACCTTGCTCTCACTCGTCCTCTGAGCTGCCTGTTCCCACTTTTCATGCTTTTCACTGTCGTGCACCCTCCTACAGGTTACGCTGCAGAACCCAACTAGACTAGACCGGGAGGGTCTGCACAACGAGCTGGCTACACACACATGAATGCACATACTCACACAGTTGATGGGAGGGAGGTTTGATCTCCCCACCTCCTCTCACTAACATGCTGCCTCATTATGCCATATCTGGATTACGTTCAATAGAACAGCTCGATAAAGTCGCCCATGCACAGTGTGCGGTTTCATTTGTGTGATGTTCGGGTATAAAATAGTGGATAACACAATGATCATGTATAACTTGTTTCACCATTATTTCACCCAAAATAAATATTTTAGCATCAAACGCAAGCGGATTCAAATGCATCAAATTTTTATGTTGGTGCGGTTTGTGATACTGAAGTTGACAAGTAAATCATAACTAAAAGAAAACTAAAATACTGTACCAATCGAGGGTTTACAGGGTTAAAGCCGCATTTGTTTTGGAGGAAGTTTACATGCGTCTCCTCTCCTTTGCGCATGCGCAAAGCAGTTCAAGCGGCACATACAAAACAAGTTACAGGATAAAGGGGCGAATGGAACGTGAGTTTAGTAGTTTTTACAGTCTAAACGTAAACTACTGGTGTATATTGCTCATAAATACGCTTATTCAATTGCGGAAATGTTTTAAAGTGTGTGGAATTTACGTGACGTTCGAACTCACTATGCTATCATGGTAGCTAGCCCGCTAGCGTGTAGCTTCGACGGCGCAGCGTTGGTCGTCATAAGGAGAGCATTTCTACCGTCCTCCGTGGGAGTACACCGAGGCGGCTCGGTGGTGTTCTTGTGACCGCTGAGAGCGCCGCATGGAGGCGACGCTGAAGAACTTGTCGAGTACGATCGAGTTGCTGGCGGTAGCGGCGCGGAGCGGTGACGTGCGTCTGTGGGATCGACAGTCTCTCTCTCGGGCTTTTCACTGGGCCTGCTACTGCGAGCACCTTTTCTCCAAATACCACCAAAACCCCCAAATTAGGGGAATTATGGAGATTCAACTGCAGCACACTAATAGTCGTTTGCGAGCTGTCTTTGCTGACTATGCTGACCTCTCTTTTTTGGACCTGTCACATTGCCAGCACTTGTTGCTGACAGGGCTGCTGAACAACCCTAATCTGCCCCTCTCCATTATGAAGATACTCTTTGACACCACAAAACCAGCGCATGTCAAACCAGGAGAGTATCAGGATTCCACTGGACTTTGCAGTCGCATCATTCAATGCAAATCTGCTCATAAAATCTTGAGTCCACTCACATGTCACTCAGGAGTGAGTGCGGAGGTGCAGGGCACCTTTTTGAACAAGAGCCTTCACACCCTGTTGAGCCAAGGCGGCGAACCCTGCCGGGCACAGTGTTTTCTTGACACTGTCCTCCAAGGATGCAAAGGAGCAGAACATTTTTATCTGGTCCTCGCTGCCGCTTTGCTGACTGGAGAAAACGCACACGCACAAACTGCTTCAGTGGATTTTCTCCAGGATTGGCTCCAGCAAAATCACAGCCTGCTGCAACACATGTGCTTCACACTGCCTACATCTATTCTTAAGAACCTGGCAAGAGAACATATTAAATTCAGGGACATGTACTGTGCTGTTCTTAAAAAGTGGGCCGCAGATATGGAGTACTGCGTCGATGATGGAGAATGGACGCAAAGCGCCACAAGTACCACAGTGTCTTTTCAGGAAGTGACTGAGCGTTTTGTGGTCTTGTTCGAGGCTTGTCCCACTCTGAGGACCACCGTAGAAAAAGAACTGAATGATTTGAGGATATCCGATGGAGACTTTGATGTCAGAGGACTAAGCGTGTGGGGAGACCTCTTAACAGAAATACGCAAGTGTCAGTTGCAGCTTGATGGATAGTTTGAAAAATGTCAAATTCAGCATCTGCTACACATTTATTCTAAAATCTCATAGAAATTATTCAGCATTTCTTTTTTGGTTTCTCCACTGTAAAATGCTCAGAGAAACAAAGTCCTGAATGAATCTAGAGAATGGGGAAAAATAAACCAGATTAAAAAAATGCTCACATGTTCGTCCTACTTTGTCTGCGCATATAATGAACTTTGCTGTATCTAACTTTGGCGCCACGGTGTTACACTGGTAAGTATGTCCCCTTCACAGTGCAGAGGTCAGGGATTCTATTTCGGCCTCGGCTTCCTCACGCCTGCTTCGGGTTTTTCCGGGTACTCTGCTTTCCTCACGTATTCCAAAAACATGAATGGTTGAATTGATTTAACGCTCTGTCCCTCTGTGATTGTGAGCATGAATGGTTGTTTGTCTATGTGTGCCCTGCCATTGGCTGGTAACCAGTTCAGGATGTCCCCCACCTACTACCCGAAGGCAGCTGGGATAGGCTCCAGCACGCCCGCGACCCTCATGAGGATAAAGCGGTTTGGATGTATCTAACATCGATCCATCCATTTTCCGCTTATCCTGAAGGGGGTCGCAGGAATTGCTTGAGCATATCCCAGCTGACCATGGGCGAGAGATGGAACAATCCCCGAACTGGTCGCCAGTCAGTCACAGGGCACATATGGAGACAAGCAACCATACACAGCCACATTCATACCATCATTGAGTGGGAACTGACCCCACGCTGCCTGCACACAAGTCCGGCGAGTGTACCACTACACCATCAGCGACATTGTATCTAACATGTACATCATATTTATGTCATTAGGTACAACTTCCCCAAATATTGTAAGCAAGGGAAAGGTGGGAACCAGCCTGGCATTCAGTTTGGGAATTGCATAACAAATGTACAAACACAAACTAAGAAAGATGTGCTGCAGATTGACAGGAATGACTCTTAAATGGCAGATTTTGTGTAGGATAAGACAACAGAGATGCTCCTTATTATTGTGGCCTAAGAATAACTTTGGGTCGCAGTCGAAGCGTCAAGGAGCCAGGAATTTTGCAGTTAAGAGTAGCGGTAGACCGCTTCGATGATCAATATTTGTCATTTTGACACATATTGGTATCGGCTTTTTTTTAAGAATCCAATGGCCAATAAGAGATCAATTTCAGACTTTTCCGAATATTCGACGACTCAGTAGGATATCCAAATACCAAAATACTCCATACCTCCCGCCTGTTTCCTGTGTTTGGTCATGTGACTTTCACAAGCCCTTGGGCTCTATGATGTCATTTAGTCAACAGTAAGTGGCAAAATGGCCATTGTAAAGAAAATTTGGGACTTGACATCCCCTGTATTACATGCTGATGAACCTACTCTTGTTGCTCTTTACACTTTTTGTTAGAATTTTAAAGCAAATATGTCTATTGTAAGATTTAAATAAACCCTTTAACATGTTGCACATCTGAAAAGTTGTTGAAGTAACAGCATCATTCACAATTATTAATTTTAATGTGTTGGTATCAGCCTGGAAATCTCGAATTAAGAGAAGTGAGATCAACCCACTGACATACAGCACAGTTCCATAAAGGTGTTGTGAAATGCAAGCATGATTGGGCTGTGCCGGTCAGGTGACTTGAATACTAACTCACACATGGCTGCCTATAGGCCGTAGCACTTCTGTGGCAAGGGATCAATTAGGCACATCCTGTGTGTTCGGTCAAAGGCTGCACAATAGCTGGCGTGTGCTGCACCGTGGATTACAGACCGCGACATCGTGTGCATGCAAACACCAACACAGCCACGGCTCGTTTAACACTCCGTGAAAGCAATTCACGCAGTGACAGACAAGGGTCACCGAGTAACAGCTCGCGTGTACACAACCAATTTATTTCCGAGGCGGGAGTAACATATGTGGCTGACAAAAGGGGAAGCGGCCATGATTAAAGTGGTCTCACCTGCTCCTCTGTTGTAAAAACATGTAAATGATCTCATTGGATTTTCATCACGAGGATGCGGCGCACCAAAACCAATTAGTCATTCTGCAAGGCCATTAGAAATGTCCACGTTTCCAAGCCCGAGTTAACATTTAATGTTTGGGACTCGGTTATTTGTTTATGTATTTATTTAGACTCTTCACAGCCTCATGCATAGGTGCACAGCGGGATTGTTGCCATGGTGATGATTAATGTCACCCGCCCCTCCAGATAAAAAGTAACACACCCCAACTGAGATGGAATTGGTTCTAAGTAAATGATTGTATAACGTGTACAGTAAATAACTATGTTTGACCATGATAGGTGCCCTACAACACGAGTTATTTAGTTGGCATTTTTGAAAAGTGAAAGTGCTCTAGCAGGGTCAACGACATCTCAACACCCTCTGGTGACAGATGGGGGGATTGGGAACACATCACTGTCTAAATGAATTGTTCCTTCCAAATTTCACAAGCTTCCTTATCCAAAAGTTAATTTACATGAAATGTGGCCAAATAATATCTTGACCATCACTCCGATGAATCATGGTTGCTTCTATCTAGTTGTTGCAGTTATTTACAAGCTTTTTCAAGACTGTGTATTAAAAGCCAGTCAAGTGAAGCATTTCTATGTATCAATGCTGTCCAATGAAAAATTAGTGTGTCCAATTTTCTTTCATTTCAAGAAAATGTGATGCAGGCTGTGATGTACAATTAAATGATCCATCCATCCATTTCCAACACCGCTTATCCTGAATCGGTCGCGGGGAGGTGCTGGAGCCTATCCCAGTTTTGGATAGACTACACCCTGAACTGGTCGCCTGTCAGTCACAGGGCACGTATAAAGACGAACAACCATTCACATCCACACCATCACTGAGTGGGAACTGATCCCATGCTGTGCATACACATATCACGCGTGTACCTCGACCATTAGCAACACAATTCGATTATTTTCCTATTTAATGAGCTTCAATATCATAGTTGATAATTCTACATCTTGATGATTATGTTTCTAGTTTGCAGCAGTTAATTTAAAGGGAGGAAATACTGGTTCTCGTTTGATTTATTCGTAATGAAGCATCCTCGGAGGAAAGGCCTTACTACCCCCCACCCCTTCTGTGGTTCTTTGACAGCGTGTGGCAACAACAAACTGCAAGTGGAGGGCGTCTGTTGTGCATGGTGAGGGAAAGCATTCATTAAAGGTCTACTCCAGCCCTCATCTGGTGGTTTGAATAGGGGCTGTTTGGTTGGGGGTGGTGAGGGTTTAGAGCCCTCCCTTGGCACGTGCCTAAGCCACTCCGGCGTTGGCCTCGTCTGGCCCCGGCAGTGACAGATCACAGAGGTGGGTGTGAGGGGGGCCACGCTTCACACCTGTGTCCCACACTGAGGATCATCAAGCATACATCTTATTTTGTTTTTTCCCCCAATTCATTGAAGAATGCACGAGCCATTTTTTTAGGTATATTTATGAAAACAGTTGAACACAGTTGGTGCATGCATTGTGTTGCAGTGAAAACGATCCTCTTGGAACTGTTTCATTGTAATTGGATTCGGTCTACATAACGTGACTAATTATTTGACTCTAATGTAATTTTTTTCCCCTTTTTTCAGGGCCACAAACTGTGCAGCTATCTTCCAAAAGGTCAACTTGGATGCAAATAATGTTTACGGTAAGCAATACCTCACAGTCAAACAAAATTCAACCGACCCAGTGACTTTCTGCCTTTTGCCCCTTGCTATTGACTGAAAATGACGTTACAGTGCCTAATGGCTCGGCTTACGAACATTACATCCCCAAACCCAGGAAATAGCCCTTTGGCATTGCGATGTCATTTCCATTTGACAGCAAGTGGCAAAATGGTCGCCCTCTAAAATGGATCAAAAATGGGGGAATTTTACTGCTTAATTCATTTTCCACATTGACTTCCCCTCTCAACACTAAAATGTTATTGCTAGTTGGACACAAAAATATGAATCCAATTCAAGTCATTTTTTTTCTGTCCGGCCTGACAAATGTCAGTTTTTTTACGGTACACAACACATTTCTGTCAAATATTCCTTGTCATTATCTGCACCTTTTATCCATGTTGAGATCTGAAATGTGTCAGCAGCACAAAGGCTATGCTGTAAAAATCTTATCAGCCTCTTATCCCTTTGTCTCGGTGTGTGTGATACCAATATGATCACACTACACAGAAGAGAGCGATGAAACTGTCACCCTAATGTGACAATTGGGGGAGGGGAATAGGATCAACTTGTGATAGATGAGCTTACATACAAACTACAGGATCTGAGCCAGTTCTGTGGAGCAACAAGAAGAAATAACACATTGGATGCTGCAATCTCCCGAAACAAATCAGCTCTAGAAATGTAACCTTCATATATTAAAAAAAAAAAAAAATCTTCATCAAAAGCTCCCTGCTGCATTACCCAGTTTGTTATCTATGAAGGTTTCAGTGGGATGAGAGAGTAACCACAGATGAAAGCTTAAAATGAGCCGCCTATCGCTTTGCAGCCGACACACCAGATTCTCTTTTCTTGTAAGGGAGAAGTTTGGATTGAAGAATGACTTTTCAAGCTTGACAAAATAGTCTTCAGCATATGCATGCGGGTCACGCTAACGTATGTAAGAGGGATTGATTGGGCCTCCAAGCATGCAGCCATTACAGTTTTATTAATGGGAAGAGGTGTACAATTCAATCGCTCCGAGGTGGGGTAACGCCACATGTGATAGGCTCATAAAACACCAATTACTCCAATGCCACATTTGGAATTTGGCCTTCTAATTACAACCAGTGACTTGATGGAGGATTATTAGAAAATGAATGGCTCTGTAGGCAGCAATGTGGAGGGGTGGGAGGGTACAATTTGGCAAGGGGAGCACGGCCGGCCGGATAATTGCATGCAGGCGAGCTCCCTGGAGAGGAGCGCAAGCCTGTCATCAAACACTCATTCGGCTATGGCCTCATCCCATTACAGTCCCCGAGGAGCCAAACTGCACCTGCCCCACGCACCGACAACAGTCCATCGTCTCCCCTCCGCTCGCGCTCTCACTCTTTGACGCGAACGTGATGCTGCACAAAGTCGGCAATGTGAAGCTAAGCTGCTCCCTGCTATGAGTGAAAACCCGGACTCAAATCAAAGCACACAAACAAGCTTGTCACCGGTGCAACAGCCGTGACCGCAGGGACTGGTGTGGCAGGAGGAAAAACACGTTCCACATGACTGCTGACACAATTGGGTTTTCTGTCAAATTAACACATGCACCGAGGAGGCGGGCAGTGGCGAGTGTTGATGCTTTTTACACTCTTCTTTCTTCTCCTACTCGGCCGACGAGGCGATTATCCAAGGAGGAACTGAGATTTATTGTAATTGCTCGCTGCTTGCATCGAGCTGCTTCTTGTGATCAGACAGCGCAGTAAACATTAACATGACTTGAGCTATATCCATCGAGGGCAACGATCCACGCTCGGCCCCCCACCCACAGTATAAATGTCGCTCCTGTCAAGCTCAGGGGAAAAATAAACGCCTTGCTTAGTGTAAAATCGAACGAGATGCTGTAGAACTGAACTGAATCATAATGTGAAGGGTTTCTAAAATTTGGACCACACCCTAACCAGTCTTCTCAATATCAGTGTTGTAATGTAAGGGAGTATAAATACTTTGTTCTAGTCCAACCTCTTTACAACATACCTCGAGGGACATAACAAATCTGTACGTTGGTACGGGAGTTCATTGTAACCATTTCCAATAAAATGGCCGCCCATTTTGATGTATGATACGGTATGAACATTTATAGATGTAAAAACATGAACATGTAATACACCATAAACTTGTCAATTACAAATACGCGTATACAGTATGAAGAAAAAAATGATTTCAGAAGACATGAAACAAACAACTGTAGCATTCCTACATCATCTCTGAAAACAGTGCCTTCCCCCAGTTCAGGATGTGCCACACCCCAAAGCCGTTTAAAATCATTTTAGAATCTGTTGGCCTCAATCGCTGCCATCATTTTGTGGCCATGAAAGATGAATATCGAAATCTGCAACTTTGCTAACTCGTAGTCTTTGATGAACTTCAACTGGGAGACTCCCTTTCGAAAGTGAAAGACAATTTCAGCCTTCACAGACTGCGAGATTTGCTTCCGTTTACCAGACATGTTTTCAGACCATGTGTTTACGACCACGCAGTGCCTCCGAAAGTACAACGATGTGTTGCTAAGCAACGGAGGGAAATTGTACATTTTGGTCACCGCGGCAGTTAGCTTCTCACGATTCGTTGTCACGAAGGCTTTTTCACTATTTTGTGGGGAAAATCTGGTAAATTTAATGTCAAACTCAACTCTTAAACTCAAGTAAAATCTGACAAGGTGATAAGAAATGGATGAATGGATAAATACTTGTACTCTTTCTTTTAAGTACCGCTTTCCGGTATTGTATTTAATCAAAGACTGCCAGTGCCGGGAACCATAATAATGAACACATTGTTAAGTCAAAACTCATCATTATTATCTTTGTGAAGACACTTTGTTTTACTTTGCTCTTGTATTGGATCTCATTAGATTGTGCAGATGTGCATGCATAATATTTCGGTTTGGCAAAGGGATATTCCATTCATGAAACCAGCAAATCCCTGTTGCTGCAGGGGAGGCAGAGTGGCTCACAGTGATGCATGTGAATGGACCGGCGCCATTTTTTGCTCTGAATTATTCACCACCTACCAAAGCAGCTGCAGTAATCATTCGCTAGGGCTGAGGCACTAACGTGGCTGCTCTTACTTGAGGCTGAACACAAAGGACGACCATCCATCTTCTATCCTGCGTATCCTTTTTAGGCTCACCGGTGAGCTGGAGTCGCCAGGTCCAATGGTACATCGATACCCGTTCATTCACATTCGACTGTGTATATAAAAATGAACACACACGTGCGCAATATTGTATGTAAATCACTACAAATTGATTGCGTCAAGAACACACCAAAGCTCTTCACAAACTTTCCACTTAGCGTTCATAGCTGGGCGCCAGTAAATGAATAAAGATGAAGAATTGCACTAATTTGCTGTTTGATTACAATGTAGTTAATGGTTTGCAAATGAGAGTGCAAATGAGATCGCAAATGAAATTGCGGGCTTAAATATCCCATTGCTTTGTTTTGCTTGTCCTCCAAAAGTGGCAAATAAAAGCTGCAACGTGACTTCCCCTTGTTGCCAACGCAATTGAAACTTTATTGATACAATTTTATGTAATCCGTCATTGTACTCTGGAGGTATCGATTCGTCTGTCCCGTGACTAGATTTAATTTTGGAGCCGGGTCAATATGTGCTGCATGTAGCACGACTGACCTCAGAGGTGTGGAGGACATGCTGAGGTGTGGAAGATGTGCCACACTTTACTGTATGTCCACACGCACTGCACCAATGTAATAGAATGCCCTCGATTGTCATTGATTTGCTTAACTGTAGTGCAACGAATTTGGGTAGCAATTCTTAGCTATACAGACTAGAATACGTTTTTTTTTTTTTCCTGTACTTGAAATTTGTTTCTGCATAGGCTCCCTCACCGATTTTACGCCATGTGCATCCTCATTGCATAATTCTTGCCGGAATGTAAACTCCAGTCATTCCATTAACATTGCTGTTTTCTCCGTCTACCAATTACCAAGCTACCGAGTCCAATACTTTGCTTTGGACCCCAGAGACATCCGCCATTGATTAACAAATGAGAAATGTGGAGAAAATGGGAGCACAACATACTGACTGGAGAAGGTTCTTAACTGGTTTGGCTGCTAAAAATGCTCGAAGAATCGCTTAGGCTCCAGAAGGAATGAAAAGATGATGACAAAAGGATTTGTGTTGTTTTTTGTTTTGTTTTTATATATATATATAAAATTTTGATAGCACTTTTCAACATCAACATATCTCTTTGTTAAACACAATATTTGTATCCATAAACTCACATTTATCTGTGTATACATTGACTTCAGGCTCGACGCCACGATAATATCTTTTGGTCTGAAAACATTCTTAAATATTCATATATTTGAAACATTCCTTGCAGACAGCAAATGGTGAAACAAAGTAGCGAAGAAATTCAAATGGAAGAGCCTTTCATGAATGACAGTTGTCCACTCATGTGTCCATAAAGTCACTTGACTGGGAACAAGCAAGAAACACCAAAGGAGTCATCCACATACAGAACTGCATTCCTCACTGTCAAAAGTCGGCACCGTGAGCACTAAAAGCTGGATTCTCCGCATATGAGTAAATCTGTTCAAAACACACGTCTTATCGTCAATCACCACATGACTCCAAAACAAGAACAGTTTGATACAGCAAGCCAGTGTTTACGTTACAAAAACAGGTGGTGGTGGATAGCAGCCATTACACAGGATTTATTGCAGCGCACACCAAACTTGAATGAGCAACCGCCTTTCTGAAAGGCTTCTGATTTGTCTCGCCTCACCATCTCGTTGCGCAAAGTTTATTCTCTTCTATCATGGCGGGCGGATGAATGAGGACAACGCTGCATCTCAACATTGATTTGGCGCAAAGTCATGCAACAAAGACACTATAATCTCGCCCTATTTTTGTCTTCAAGAGTATTACAGGTCTCGCTGGAGCAGGAGACCTTTTTTGCAAGCAGACATCTCCCTGAAAAGGTGCTGTCCATGAAAAATATGGCCTTTTTATATCAAGGTTAAACACAGATCAACGACCCAAATCCACAATAGTCTCACAGAAACAGTATACGGGTATATACAGTACGTAAAACACAATATAATCAGCTTTTTTTTTTTTGTCTTTTAGAATTGTTATGATAGTTTCAGTGCAATAGGAGAGAGAGACCTTGTGTGATGGTCTACTGCAGTGTCATCTGGCTCATGTTGTTCAAGTAAACTGATGAGGTGTGGGTGCCTAAGACTACAACACAAGCCTGCGGCTTCCTTTGCGACCTCCCTACGCTGACTGTAGATGTGAGGAGAAGTGTGTGAGAAGCTAACATGGGCTCCCCTTTACACCAGCCTTTAGAAACTAGAACTGCCGTACAACTAGAATACACAGAATGAATTCATCTATCTATAATGTTCGATTGTGCAATTTGGGACGGAAATTGGACATATATCCTCTCAAGAATAGCCTCGCTCCGAGTACATCTTCCCGGCCGGTTCCTGAACATACTCCTCCGTCTTATCCCAGTCCTGCACCCATCCTCCATTGAGCTGTGCGGTGGCTCCGTAGCTTTTCGCGGGGCCGCCCATGGCGCCGTAAGCCTGCGTGATGTCACCCGTCTCTTCGGCCAGCTCGTCCTCGTCAATGAAGCCGCACTTCTCATCGCTGGTCTCCTCAGGGTCGGCCCATGGCTGTTTTTCCCCGGATGCGAAGATACCGTAGAACACCACGCCCCCGTAATGCACCAGGGAGGCAATCAGGAAGACATACTGCCACTCTTCCCTCGTCTGGGACCAGAAATAGTGGTTAGACCTTGTCACAATTTACAGGCCCACAGAGCTGATTTAATAGTTGCCATACGCCAACACTGTAACAATTTAGTAAAGTTAGTTACTTAGTTAAAGGCAATTGTGTAATGTGTTTTTTTTAGAATCTCTGTAAACATCTAGCCTTCAAAACTGATAAAACAAACTTCCTTTTCATAAAGTTGCTTACTTGCTAGCTTACCTTATTCTTTGTCATGGCTCCCACGATTAGAGGGCAGACCATCCCTGACAGGGTGCCCACCCCATTGGAAATGCCCATGAGGATGCTGGCGTAGCGTGGAGCGATGTCTAAATGATTGACGTTGAAACCTGCAAACAGAAGTTTGCTTTGAGATTTTAGATTAGTGGTGGCTGGGAAGTATTGTTGTAGAATTTCAAGACGAAGCCCAGAGGCTGCAGTTGAGTTAAGTTGAGTTGAGATATGTACTCTACTTTAAAAAATGTATCTGGATCCCAATGATTTTATTTCAATCAACCACTTGACAAAATTAAATTGAAAACAATTTCAGTGTCGGAAAATCAAGATATTTTCCATGGCCCTATTTCAGAGAATTGTTAGATGTTGTCTGCGTTAAAAATTATTAATGGCCACCTGATTTGGCGTTCAAAAAATCTCCCTCTAATCTAAGACACGTACAAACAATTAGCATGTATTTTTTTTCTAATTCTCATGAACTAATTTGTTTATTTCCTCCCTTCACATTATTAGCAAAGCCATTGGAACCTGTTGTTTTGATCGCATAAAAGCCTGGGATGAAGGTTTTCTTAACCAAGCACAGGTTGGTTAAGAAAACTAAATGCTTGTCTCACTGTGCCAAGATCTTAAAATGCTTATTGTATTTGATTGACAGTAAAATTCATTTTTCCTTATTGTACTTCAGTACATTTCAGAAAACATTAGTTCAGCACATTGTTCAGAAACTGAGGGAGGAGTCAAGTGAGACGACGCGCAAATCTAGCTGGCAGTTAATAAAACTGCAAACTCCCTTTCTATAACTAAAGCAGTCTATGTACTTCTACTCAGGTCGCGTGTAAATAATTTCACCACCTCTGCCTATAAAATAAACCTGGACTCCTTTGAAGCCTCACCTGATATTGCAAAGCCACTAAAGCCCACCGCCAGCACCAAGAAGGAGATGGCTATCCCCTTACTGTGAGAATAACCAACCACCAGGAGGAGGGTGGCCTCCATACCGAATCCTAAAATCATCCAGACGACACATGGGTGAACTGATGCATGCTGTCGTCACTTCCCTTTGTGCACACGTACAGCGGCTCACCTCCACAGTTCATGATCTTGCGGACCGTCGTGGTGGACATGATGTTGTGCGTACGCAGGTAGTCGGCTAACTGGCCTCCTAAGGGCACGATGATGGTCATGACCAGGTGGGGGAGCGCTGACACTATTCCAACCTGGGCGGCACACGTGAAGGAAAAATGATTCTTTCAGTGTGTGTGTGTGTTTGTGTCTGTGTGAGAGTGTGTGTGCTGGGGTCTAATGTCTGGGCCGTATATCACCCTCAGCAATTACACGCTCCTCCTCAGCCTAAATCACAACTGCCAGACAAGCTTGATTCATCCTTGTCTCGCATGAGGGAGACGAGATTATTCCATTGAAAGACGAGACAGTCACTGATTAGGACACCGCAAATCTCACAAGCGCTTCCACTCCAAAATTGTTTCTGTTTCAGTGCAGGTGAGTGTCTCTTAAATTATGAGTTGCGGTTCTGGCTTGACAGGCTTACCTTGCTTATTTCAAAGCCAAACACCTCTTCAAAGTAGGCTGGCTGGCTGATGAGCAGCAGATAAAAGGTCCAGCTCCTGCAGAAGTTTGCCACAATAATTGCATAGACGGGCATAGAGGTGAAGAACTTCCTCCAGGGGGTCTTGAATTTCTGATTTGAGATGAAAAATAAAAAAGATGGATAAACCGGATTTTGCACGTGGCGTTACACAAATTTCCAGACTGAGATGGAGAAGCGACCGACCTCCATGGCACCCATCAGCTGGGCACTTTCGCCGATGCTCTCCTCGATATAACGGCGCTCCTCTTCTGTGATGGTCGGGTGCTCGGCCGGGCTCTCGTAGGACACCAAGATCCAGAACATGTACCAGATTAAACCAAAGGTACCTGTGGGGATTGAAATGTTCAGAATTCCCCATTGGTATTCAGTACTGTAGATGTGATGCTGTCCGAAATGCATATTAGTCAAGCTTCCACACTTGCAAACATGAAAGCAACAAAATATGCGATCGTGCTAACAGGGTGGACATTTTTGGCTATAATTCCAGCTTTTTTTTTTAAGGATTTAAAAGCATTCAAACTTGGGGCTGATTTCTCTTCCGTTGGCAACTTCTTCCATTTGCGTGCAGCATAACAGCCAAATAGCACTTCACCATGTTTGCTTTGAAACCATCAGTAGACCCGAGACTGCAGACCTCTGAGCCCTACTGGGTTTATAGTCAATCAGCATTGGATTAATGTGTTCGGGAACCTAAATCATTCAGTGATTTATAGACCAATAGCAGATTCTTATAATCAATTCCACAGCTAACTGGGAGGCGTTGCAAAGCCTTTAGGACTGCTGAGGTCAACTTTGAAATAATTCGGTTCTCATTTGGGTTGTATTCAATTTTCAGATTGTATTCAAATAAACACATTGAGTCACCATTTTAAATGTGGTGATTATGCAGTAGGTATGTATAAGGAATCTGAATATGACACAACTGTTCCAATTGAAGTCCCTGAAGTTGGAGTAATGCCTTCTGATTGGCTGCTGACCAATCAAGTTTGGGCTGCAGTCAGCTGGGATAGGCTCACACACATCTGCGACCCTAATGAGGACGAGCGCTATGGACGGAAGGACGGACGGATTTTTGTTTTAGGTTCACGGATGCCTAAGTGATGACCTGAAAGAGTTGCTAATGTTACCCTAACTAAGGAGTACAAGTTGAATGAAGAGATGACAAGTGTACTAACCGTACACATAGAAGACTGACGACCATCCTGTGTACTGCACCAAGATTCCAGCCAGAGGCATGGCTATGACCGCACCAGCATAGGATCCTGCACAGGACAAATCCTATGAGCCAGCAGAATATCATCCTTGGTTGCTTTATTCCCAACCAAGCCTGCCGTCGACAATTTTTGATCTCCAGTTGCTGTTTCCGCACTTTGTAGACTACCGGTAATATTTAAGTGTTATAAATTATGTCATAGGAGGAAGTCATCTCCAGACATGTTAATTGTGCTTTGTCAAGTACCACAGAAAGAGATGGTTGCCAGACGACTCCTTTCCAGAGGAGGAGCCCATTTACTCCAGATTCCATGACATGCTGGATAAGTCACGCCCTGCGAATGGAAACATCAATGTGCTCAGTTTTCAATCACACTGTCAGTAACATATTTCTTTAAAGTCCCTACAAGTGAAAATCATTTTCTTATCAATTTGACACAATGCAGAGAAGAGTGTTGTTAATCACCCAAATAAATTTGAATGATTAAAAAATCGTCAAGGATATAAAGTGAAGCTTCATAATTGTGAATCCCACTCTCTGGGCACAGCATTTGAATGGGCTGCAACTGCGCTTCACTCAACTGTCAATCAAATACCACTTCTAGGATCTCGACAAATGGATCCTATTTCATGCAGCATCTTTTTTGGGGCCGTAAAATCTGCATAAAGCCTCTGCTGGCAAGAATATATCTTGCCGGGTGGTCACATGGCTCTTTCATGCCGGAACAATGAGGCGCTCTAAAGCGGCCACGCCAGTGGACTATCGAAAGAGGTGAAATTGTGAAATTGTTCATTGTGTAGACATAGCTACTGCATGTCGCCATCGCGCCAGTGAACCACTAATGCGATGGAAGGCACTCAAATTAGAGTGAGGGAGGGGCAATTTATGCCAGGGCCTTTGTTTTCGCGCACGCGCCAAAAAATCTGCAAAACTGCAATGGTGAAAAGCAGTTTCTCCACAATACTGTAATTCTCAGTCTTTGCATGTTTGCTGCAGTTATCTGCAAACATGTTTTCTGTATTTTGAAAAAATATCTATGAATTCACTTTCCAGGCTCGATTTATCCTCATTTATTGGCTGATTTTTGTCAGTGTTAAACTTGAATACGCTGAATAGCCAGTATTATCTTGCACAATTTTACATTGAAGTTACTTTCATCAATCAAATTTCCACTCAATTGGCATACTTTTTTTTTTTTGTTTTTTTTGCTGTGGAATGTTTCCAAATTCGTTATGAATGAACATTGCCACCTTCGTCCTGCATTTTACTGCAAGACAGCAAGAACAGCAGCAGTACTGTACCAATATTTTTCCTGCTTCGCAGCCCAATATAAACAGCATCGATTTAAACTACATGTAAAGATACCGGATGCAGTCCAGTGGTCAGTGTGCCCGTGACAAATTGGATCTGATAACAAAGAGTGCGACATGGTTGTAGCTGACCTCCCTAATGGAGACTAATAGGTGAAGTGTGAGTCCGTACAAATTCATGCAGACTGCCACTGGATGGAGGGAAGGGAAAAAAAAATCATCATTAAATCTTCATTAGCCACTAAGTGGCATACAATCAACTATTGATAGACACAAATTGCTGGGGATTGCAAAGGGAGACAGGCCCAAATGCTAATGTTTAATTTGCAGTAATAAGTGGATGCTGGGCTGTGCACAGTCATCTCTTGCCCTCTCTCATGGCCACGAAGCGCCATTGAAGGGACAGTATGGAGCCGAACAAAACAGCATAACCTTCAGTCTTATAATAGAAAATGAATCCTTCTATTGAGCCCCGATAGTCGCGTGCGTTAAGTGTTTTTGTCCAGAGCTCTTTTGTTCTGTGTGAGCATTTGGTGGGAGTACACCACATAAGCCCTGCGATTCACTCTTTGTTGACCACTCTGGCAACCATGTGCACTAGGATGAAAAGGATTGCTCCGTAAATGGAGACAAAAGGTGATTAAATAGAGAATGTCAGGACATTTTCATTAGGGGAGGGATCCAATTCTCACACCCCATAATGAGTCGTCGTTTTTTTGTTTTGGTTTTTTGTTTTTTTTCTTTTTAAACCATGCTTAAGGTCAATATATGCAACAGTACCTCAACCAAGCCTTGTAATATCCTCACAAAGATGACGCAGCCGTAGTGCACGCGGGCCGCAGAGGGGATGAACATGTTCAGGGTGGATGTCAGTACGATTGCAGCCCCGAAAACTCTGCACGGACGAGGTGCATATTAACAAACATGATTGAGCACGTCAAAATCAGCAGAATACAGTGGATGATCCGAAGTCAAAATGTTGTAAATAACACTCTGAGAAGCACTGACCTTTTAGGAGCTAAATTCTAATATTTGTTCCAAAAAATGTGATTCAGAATCGCCTTCTGTTGGTCAACGGGAAAGGGACAATATGCCAATTGGTTGCGTGTCGCCACGGATCACTACTACCCACTAATTTCAATGGGAAAGGGGTATTAGAGTGTTCAATCAGCCTGCCATGCATGTTATAGGAATGTGGGAGGAAACCAGAATACCCGGAGAAAACCCATGCAGGCAAGGGGAGAACATGCAAACTGCACACAGGAAGGCCGGAGTTGGAATCGAACCCGGTACCTCTGCACTGTGAGGTGATGGTGAGTATTTTAATGTCGTGTTAATTTGTGTGTGTGTGTGTGTGTGTGTGTGTGTGTGTGTGTGTGTGTGTGTGTGTGTGTGTGTGTGTGTGTGTGTGCGCCTGACTCGCTGATAATGTCAACATTTTGACCCTGCAGCAAGTTATTTCTTAAACAAAGACAAACATCTTGGGACAATTTGTGTTCCACTGTACAGTGCAGTGCTTAATATTCCACGCCACATACTGAAGTAAAGAAACACACAAAATACACCGATGCTGCTGTTAAAGCATAAAAAAATCAATCTTAATTGGATGCTAAACACACACACCCACGCACATACAGTAGGAGAGGAAAGGGAGAAAAGAAGGTGTTTGGAGCAGAAGGCGTCTGTGGGCTCAGCTTACTTTGGCAACGTGATGCGACTCAAACATTTGCTCCTCCGCAACGTGCAGCAATATTGATCTTTTCTTTTGCTTTTTTTTTCCACTGCTGTGTACTATTTGAAGTATGTACTGGCTGTTCTTTAAAATATATGTTGGACAAGCAGTCCTGAGATCTTTGCATAGTTGTAAACTGCAAATCGCATTGTTCACGTTCACGTTATTGGTGATTACCTTCACTCATATAGACCAATTCATTTTTTATTGTCCTAAAATTTGCTCTTTGCTGCCGGTCCTCCTCTTGGTCTCATCGCTTCTATTTTGCTATTGTGTCCTCTCCTTTATTCTCTGCAATTCTCCCTGTTGAACAGTTGTAGAAATCATCCGCCACTGTTCGGAAGCAACCCACAATTATTAGTCGCAGCCACATTTCACACCGGGCCTTGCCTGGGTGGGTAACCATGCCTACATGTGAACACAAAGGATTAGACACGGTGTCTCCCATGGGAGCTCATTAACATTGAGGGAGGGTGGAGACACGCCTGCTGGGCATCAGCAAAATCCTCACTTTTATCAACTGGGAGCTCTTCAAGACACACACACACACACTCACACGGCTGACATTTTGTATTGTTTCAAATCCGAGACGTTAGAAATTGGTTTGTTTTTAAATAGAAAGCCACAGCATTAGGTACACCTGAAGTATGCAACCATGAATGTGTATTTATTCAGTCAGCTCTCCATAGTTTCTAATATTTTACCCATACAATAAGACACAGTACTGTAATAGAAACAGCGATCAGTATGCAGTATGGCTCCATACCAATGCAAGTACATCCAGAGTGATGGGCACATTGTCAAGCAAGCTTGTAGGGCACTTTGAAAATCCAAACGTATACAGTAAATGTATAGCATGGGATCACGCAGATAATTCAAAAGTATTGAGCAGCAGTACTAAAACTAAATAACTTAAAAATAATAATTGTAAGTTCCTGAAATTAATTAGAGAATACAGTGAACCTGATTAACTTTCTTTCTTTAGATAATAAACATCTCATTTCTTTAGGTACATGCGAAATATCGGAATAATATCTCAATATTCAACATATGGCATATGGCAGCCTTAATGTAAAGCAGTTTGGTAAACGCTGTTTTTTTTAAATGCATGATCTAATAAAAATGGACTCAATGATATTCATCAGTGTCTTCACACTAATGAATATCATTAATTTATCATAAAGAAATATAACTCAAGGTCATTTCAGCAAATTTGGTATTTCAGAAGTGTGCATCAAACTGGTAGCTCTTTGGATTAATCACTATACCCAAGAAGTAGCTCTGGACTTGACTGTATTTCTCAAGTAACCTTCATTGAAAAATTTGTTTTTCTTTCAGAAATAAGGACGTTTCTAATTGACCCCCCAAAACTATATTGTAGGCATATATACACTCCAAACGGATATAGTGTATGTAGATGCTATGTCTGCATGTACTCGTGTGTATGTATGCCTGTGTATGTGTATACTGTAACACACATTGTGTCATCTAATACTATGCAAGCGGGATAAAACAACAAAATGGATCAAGGAAAGACCTGTTGGCGGCCAGTCTGGAAGAAATGTATCCTCCTGGAATTTGGGTGACGATATAACCCCAGAAGAAGGAGCCGTGGGAGGTGTCCCGCTGACGTGTTCGGTGTTGGGCACACCTCTTTAATGATGATCTTGCCGTTCTGGTGGATGGTGCTGTTGTTGACCATGCTGACGATGGCCACGCCTAGGTTGCAGCGGATGCCGAAGGAGATGCAGAAGCCCAGGCCGCTCAGCATGGCGATGATGTACCTGCGCGGGAGTCCGAAACACGTGCAGTCACACAGGGGCCCCCTGCGGCCCTGCTCGGCCCGGGGCCGCCCATCCTCGGTCAGCTCGATGGCCTCGCCCGTCTGCTGCCGCTTCTCCAACCTCCTGCGCGGCACGAGGCGTTAAAAAGAAAAGAAAAAAATATATAACAATAATAAGAATAATCATTCTTATAAAAATAACAAATCAAGCCTGCGACAAATCCCGTAGTCACGTATGCATTCATATTGCAGGCAATTCGGATATTTAAAGACAATTTGCAGAATGTGCATTCAGTGAATTTTTGATTTGAAACATGCTGACCGTAAAAACACAATTTTAAAAAATTCTATTCATTTCCCCAAAAGGAAAGGCAACGACCTTCATACCGCATTGCAGCAACAACAGCCTCTCTGCGGTTATTTTTTTAAATAGCTTGTCATATCTTAAAAATCACATTCTCATAAACACGGCGTTATAGGTGTGACTCTATTGCTGTTAGAATGCAATAAAAAGATTGTTTTAAAATTCCTAATATGTTAATGTGAAGGCCTTGAGAAAAAGTGGGCCCGCAGCAATTTTTTTCAACACCTCTTAGTCACGTTTTTTTCCTGATCGGAAGCAAATGGCTGTTTAAAATCCTTTTTTATTCCTCCTCAAATATGTGCGTCACGCTAGTTGTGAAAGCGAAGGGGAAAACGCTTCTTTTTGTTGTTATCATTATTATTGTATTTTATTCATTTTGGTCTTCACGCCTCGCAAATTCGTTAAAATGACAACTCCAAATATTTGGAAAGCCTGTTATGTCCTAAATATTAAAAAAGAAAAAGTCGAGAGTCAATTGATTTGACTGGCATCGATTTTGCATTGATCCAGACGGATCCAAATGGTAATAGATATCATGGCAGACTTTCTGTCACGACTGCTTGTGTTTCATTCATTATTAATTTAAAAAAAGACGCACAGCTGCTCGTGGAGGGGCGGGGGGTGGGGGGTCTCATCCTCCTGGGAAATATGTGATCCTTAAATATTCTTCTGTGCTCTCTCTGTATCCTGACATTCATCCCATAAATGATCATTCCAGCCTGGATTTATTTTCTTAATTTCGGAGTAAAAAATTAATGAAATGTGCTTATTTAACCCTATTATTCCGAACAAAAAATGCATTTTGTTCCTTTTAAAAGATGCGTAAATGATATAAATTCACCATACCTGTACAGACCTCCGAGGGCCTTTCCCGCAATTTGTTTCAGTCCCTCTTTAGCCTTTGGAACAGCTCCCTCATTGCGCCCAGGCTCCATTTCCTTCTCCCAAAAAAATGATCTGCACGACTACTCTAGTGTAAGAAACGCAAGTGGTGTGTGTGCATATTGTTAGTATAATCCAAATAATTCGAGTTTTCCTTGTGCTTCCCCCCCAAAAGAAACGCCTCGATATCCTGGAGATCCAATAGAGCCCGAACAAGGAGAGGACGAAGACGTTCAGTGTGCAAAGACTGCTTCCTCTGTCACAAAGCGGCGCTCCAGTAAGTCCGTTTTTGCTTTGCGCAGTCCCTTAATCCACGCACAGCCATTTTTAAGATCTACTGGCCGATGTAAAAAGACGAGCGCGCCAAGTTGTCAAGGTGGTGGGGGCTCGTGGAGGATAGTGGAGGGGGACTCAGGGGTTAGGCTTCGGTGGGGGAGACCCGGATCCGGAGTGAGAGAATCTTTCAGCACCACGGAGAGAGCAGGAGCGCTCCACCTGTGTGCAGCCGGGGCCCCGCCCCCTCCCCCCCCCCCCCAATTCAGTACGCTACTTCGCCCTCCTGCTTCACTAAAGTGGCCTGACAGCCATGAATCGCAGCAGAAAGCAATCCCCGAAGCTTTGCGCATGTCGAAAAAAAATTAAAGCGTTGCTGCAGTAAGAAAAACGAGGCTATTATTTCGATGATGTAATGATGATGAATGTAATTGTAATGATATCGAATGCGACTCAACTTCACTAATATTAAGATCGTATATTAGTCATTATTAAACATTTAGCGATGTTAAGGACTTTGGGCAAAATACGAATAATTGACTCATTATAATTGTCATGAAAAAAATCGTCAATAGAATAAAGGAATTAAAAGTTAATCCGTAATGCCAAATCACGAATACCAACACAATGTCCTCTTTACCATGTGAATAAATGTGCACAATATTATCAAACGTACGTATAATTCCTGGAGAGGAGGCGGCCTTCACTCCATTTCAGCCCCCTCCCTTAAAACTGCAATAAAATATTTTGCTATGTGTTTGGGTTTTTTATAAGAAATGATACAGTAAAAGCTAAAATTTGAGAAAAGTGTACTTCAGAGCCCCGCCACTAGATGGCAGCAGCAAAACTAACAATTTCCAGCCACCATTAATTCACGTTGGTTTTCTTGTAGAGGAAGAGACGACCGTAGATGAGCGCTGGTTCAGCTGTGTTTTATGCTCATACTATTCCGTTTTTGCACGTTATGTGGACATCAAATTTTAGTTTGTGTTTTTATACAGTAGAATCCTGTTGTAAAAAAATTACAAATTGGGTGTTTTGGGTGGCGCTGGAACACGACCAATGAGGACAAAGGCTTTAATAGCTGGGGAATGCAGCATGTGCATGTGGTCATTGTGTTTTCCATTTAGTAGTTCATATAATCATGTACATCACATGTGTCAAAGTCAAGGCCCGGGGGCCAGATCTGGCCCGCTACATCACTTTATGTGGCCCGTGAAAGCAAATCAAGCAAGTCAAGTTCCATGATGCTTGCTAAAGCCTGAACCAAAATTTAAAATTGTCATCTGTAATTCACAATAAGTCATTATTCTTGACTTCTGATTGTAAAACTAGTTATTGATCAATTTGTTGTGCACTGTTGTGTAATATGTGGAGGGGATTAAATCATTTATATGGTTTCCCAAAATTCATGACGGCCCTCCAAGGGAAACTAACTACAATGTGGCCCGTGACAAAAATCGAGTTTGACACTCCTGATCTACATGGTTAACCCCCCCCCCCCCTCCGTTGATGGAGGGGGATTACTATATTTCCAGTTGTTATAAAGCCCTCATTTTTGATATAGCTCTTGCATTGGATGTTCAGTAGTGCAGTGTACCGAATGATGTGCAGTGGGTTGACGCAAGGAAGGATGAGAATACATGTTCAAAAATAGAAGCCGATGAGTTGTCATCAGCTGTATTGTGGGTGCAGACATTCTCAGGTCAACGTGAATTGAGGTGATGAAGATCATCTTGCAGTGGTGGTGTGTAAGGGCAGCAGCTAGAGGTGAAAGTGTCAGGTTGATGCTCCAGGGGTTCAGGCACTGGAATAGAGCAGTGACTTCCAAATGCTTTGCAATAGCACAATCGTGTACCAAGAGGTGTTATCAGTGGCAGTTTGTGGTTTGTGCAAGATGGTATGCTGCGCAAGGCAGCATAAAAACACTATGTAAAATGTTTTCAGGAAATCATTGGCATTTTTAGCTCACAAAAATATTTGAAGTCACCACTGTTGGTGAAAGGCTTAACACAGACATTGTAAGGTTTTGCACAGACGGCACATATACATGCGTGTTGCCCATGTGTTTTTGTATGCCAGGTGAGAAGAGCATGCCAATGTCTTTGGGTGTTAACCACACCCACTAGTGCGAGAAAACACTGACTAGGAAGCGGCATCCTCTCGGCCCATCTGTTGTGTGAATGCTCACGCTTGCCAATGTCCTCAGCAAAGCAGCACAGTGGACAGTTACATTTAGGAATCATGCAAACATCGGTTCAGCTGGACTTTATTTTGGAAATTTGGATAAAGGAAATGTTAAAAAAAATACAGAATGAAATGATTGGATAGCAGTGTACAGTAAACAGATTCATTTAGTAAAAGTATAAAAATTCACAAAAGACAACAGGCTTCAGAACATGTTTATAACTGAAAAATGAAATAACTAAAAAGTTCTCGCAAGATTAGCAGACTAAATGATTGAATTAAATATTTTACAATTTAAATACTTCATTTAAAGACTTCGTTTATGCATAGACACTCTTATGGAATTAAATATCCTTCAAAAAAACTATTGGGGTTGTTACATGTTGCTGCTTTAAAACACTCAAGACTGGATGCGTCGTCATGTCAACCGCAAGACTCGCACGCTTATGACTTGATCAGTCATTTCTCATCAAGTGCGTTGTGCGATTATAAATACAAAGTCAAAACGTGTATTTCCTTCTGTGGACAAATGCAGCTGCTTTGTGTAATGGGAGCAAACACAGCTTAGAAGGTGGGCATCCGGATTTTCATTTAACGAGCATGTTGGTAAACACGAGCCCATTAAAAGGGGATCTCTTCACTCAGTCAGGGCTTTCATTTCTCAACATGCGGCAGCTGTTATGCCTGGATGACCCGTTATTGTCAAACCACCTTCTTAATCACAGTGGTAAAAGCAGATTTTTGGAACGACCAAGTCATATGTCATGTCTTGGTTTCAAGAAATGTTGAGGATCTCATTTCTAATATACAAGTTGGTGTAGGGATTTTTTTTTTTTTTGGAATTAGGGTTATGTTATAGTAGGACTGTGCCTGACATGTTTCCATACATTTTCTGGAATTTTCTGCGTTATTTTATTTTCAATTTCAGACACCCATAAAAGCGCATCGGAATCAAGAACAACATATTGAAATCGTAATGAGGGTTAGCTCAGAAAACCGTTGCATGATTGCAATTAATTTGCAAAATGCATTTGTCATATGAATGTTATTTTTGGGGAGGGGATTATCCATTGTGTATTTACACAACCACAACCACATAGCTTTGCCTGGTTAAAGTTTGTTCAGCCAAATGCTAATGAAAAACAAAAAATGCCATTAACGGCTAACAAAGAGCATCAGTGTCGCATGGTTTTATACCTTTAAGCAATATATATTTGAAAAAAAATGGAGGGGAAACGTAGAGAAAACAATGCTCAACATATTCTTTATCATCTGCGAAGAACGACTAAGTATTTTTGCAGCTTATGGAGGAGTAACATGTGACCGTCTCCATGTGCTGTGTAGCCATTAGGCCGTCTTATTCTGCCCCCAAGTGGTCAATGCACACACACCAGAAAGAGCAGCACTATATCCATTGATTTGAAGCAAAGAAAATGTATTACATATCATTATTTCATGACTGTAGGCTGTTTTAAAGTACAATATTATGACTGCTAATCACAATAAAATTTAGTGGGCTCACAGAATTAATTTAAATGTAACATTAGATATACCTGTACATGAAAACATTTCTCATAAAATAATATGTATGGAAACTTATGGGACGTCACCCATCTACATTGATAATAAGCAGTGGTCAGGGACTGCAGAAACTCTAAAACCTTAAAGAGAATTAAATATTCAACATTTTATGGCATGTAACACCAGAGTTGTTCATACAACTACACATGATGGGGGAAACTCTGACATATCAAAGGACAAAATGTATTAAGGCGACTCTTAAGCTACTGATAGTGGCTAGTACAATAAATAGCTCTGAAAGGCGTGGCTCGTCTTTCCTTTTCCTGACAACAAAAATATGATCATTTTCATCATTACACGTACAGCATAGAATTAAAGGCCATAAATACGAGGCAGTGATATTCAAGTGTTCTAGGTTTTCAGCATGCTTAAAGCAGGATAGCTGAGGACGGAGGACACCTCTAGCTCCTTTATAAAGGCTATGTGTGTATGAGTGCGTGTGTCATCATAAAATGACACTTAAATGTCAACACCAGGAACCAGGATCAACATGAATAAGCAGACGTGTCGACATCACTGCCATCAAATCTTACTGACTGAGCAGCAGTTTCTCTGTGCTAGAGATTCTCCGAAACCACCTCATGCGCAGACAAAGATGGTTGGACCCTATTCACGGAGGTACTATCATCCTGGTTTCCACTGAGTTGGCTCGTCAGCCTCTTCACTTCATACTCGTGCAGGTACTCCTGGACCAGGTAGCGCTCTCTCTTTATGCGATCCCTCACATCGGACGGAACATCAGGAATCATCCAGGCCAAAGAGAACTTGACCAGGAAGACAACATGCTGGAGAGGAAGGAGGCACAGTCATGGCAAGATTAGAACACGAATGAACATGCATGCCCATGGAGATGCAAGGATGAATTGAAAATGGAAGGATTAATGATGGGATCTAATGCTGAACTAGTGTTTGTGTAGTCTGGTTTATTTTGAACCTGTAAAAGGAATGCTGCAAAAAGTGAGAATAATGTAGGATAATCCCTCGCAAAAAAAAAAAAAGCCTTTTTTTAATTAACACTTAACATCCGACAAACATGACATTTGAAAAAAAATTACCATTGTTTCCCTCCTGTTGTAAAGTAAATACTAAATTACCGAGTACTGTAAAAGAGTCAAATGTTCTGTCTTTAATTTGTGTCTTTAATATTTAACCCCTTCGGGGACAGCGGTTACTACAGTGGACAGTTTATCATTTTATCGAGTTCCAGGGTGCATGAAAGGGTTAACGGACCCAAAAAAGATTCTTATTTTGTTCATTCTGTTGTTTTGTTTTTGTTTTTTTTTTGCCAGTAACCATAACTGGCGTTAAAAAAAATTCAAATAGGTCATGCCATTGTCTGTATATTAATTTTGTTATTTATACATATTTCAAAGCTTTATGTCTAAAACACAATACCATATGCAAGTGAGGTGCAGATGTTTACTTTTGTAAACACAAGTGTTGCCATCCTCACTTTCGATAACATCATATCCGAAAGAATGGTTTACCTCCATGATGATAATGAAGATCAACTTGGCAGCAAAAATATGCCAATACTGCAATGTGTGG